TGTGTGTCTGTCTGTGTTTTTAGGGCCCACCTTGCACCCCCTCTGCCTGGACAGGATTGAGTGATGGGCATCGGACTAGAGCAGAGTGGACACATTCCCCTCCTATTGCTTTTTCTTTCTTAGATCCCCCCCCCCCCCCAGTCCTGGGGCTTGAGCTCAAGGCCTGAATATGCCGTCCGTGAATTTTCTTTTGGCTCCAGGCTAGCCGTCTACCCTCAACCGTACAGCTCCACGTCCGGCTTCTTTTTTTTGGGGGGGGGGACAGGGGGGCTGGTTGATTGGACATAAGAGTTTCGGTAGAATTACCCCTCCCCTCCCCAATCCAGGCTGGCTTCGAACCTGTGATCCTCAGTTCTCAAGCCTCCTCTAAGTAGCTAGGGTTTATTGGTGTGAGCCCTAGGCGACTCAGCTTGGCCGTTGTCTTGAAGCTATAATGGGGGGGAGGGTGAGGATCTAATTAAGAAGCTCACAGTGTTTTTGCCTTCGAAGTTTCTCAGCTCCCAGGCAGCCAGGCTGGGATGTAAATAGTTTATTTACCTGGGCGTGTATGGGGTGCTTATTAGAGGATGTCGTTACTTGTGGGTTTTGTTTTCAATAAGTTAATTTCTATTTTCCCTTTCCCTAGCCCGGAAATGGCACAGAAATGGCATCAAGAAACCCAGATCACAAAGATACGAATCGCTGAAGGGGGTAAGTGTTGCTGGCTAAACCATAAAAATGAGCCTTGGGTTGGGGCTGGGCAGGTGGCTCAGTGGTAGAGCACTTGCCTTGCATGCGTGAGGCCCTGGGTTCGATTTCCTCAGCACCACATAAGCAGAAAAAGCCAGAAATGGCGCTGTGGCTCCAGTGGTAGAGCACTCGCCTTGAGCTGAGGGACAGCGCCCAGGCCCCAGAATTCAGGCCCCACGACCAAAAAAAAAAAAAAGATCTTTGGTCTAAGGTGTGTTGTCTAATTTTATTTTTTAGTGTCCTCGGGTTTGAACCTCAGGGCTTGAGTACTATCAGTGAGTTTCTTTCTTCTCAAGACCAGCACTCTACCACTTGAGCCACAGCACCATTTCTGCTCTTTTCTGAGTAGTTTATTGGTGGTGAGAGTCTCACAGACTTTCCTTCCCTGGACCAGCTTTAAGCTGTAATTCTTCGATCTCAGCCTCCTGAGTAGGATTATCAGTGTGAGCCTCTAGAGCCAGGGTTTCGTTTGTTTGTTTTTTAAGTTGTTGTACAAAGGACTTTTGACTCAAAAGTTAGATTATGGAGGTAACGCATCTTTCTCAATGTCACTTTTTCCTATCCAGAATCTTCTGTGTCATAGTCTTTGTCCCTTCCCCCCCCCCCCCCACAGTCTGCCTGAATGCTGTTAACTACTTCATGACTTAATTTGGTCTCCCAAAGCCCATGGTTTTCTTTCTCCATGCTGCAAACTCATAGCAAAGTTTTCCTTGGCTCCCTCCCCCCCAGCCTGTGGTATGACCAGATTACCACCTTCCTTGCTTTGCCACAGCCCCAGAGGGAAAGCATAGTTGCTTGGGTTTAAGGTTTATTTTGTCCTGTCAGTCCTGGGCCTCGAACTCAGGGCCTGGGTGCTGTCCTTGAGCTTTTTCTACCCCTGGGCCACTCTTCTGCTTGCAGCTTTCTGGTGGCTCATTGTTTTTGTTGTTGTTGTTGTTGTTTTGGTCCAGTTGTGGGGCCTGAACTCTGGGCCTGGCTGCTGTCCCTCAGCGCTTCAGCTCAAGGCTAGCGCTCTACCACTTGAGCCACAGCGCCACTTCTGGCTTTTTTCTTTTTGCTTATGTGGTGCTGAGGAATCAAACCCAGGGCCTCAGGCATGCAAGGCAAGCGCTCTACCACTGAGCCACCTTCCCAGCCCCTGGTGGCTCATTGGAAATAAGAGTCTCACAGACTTCCCTGCCCTGGGTCTGGCTTCAAGCTGCAATCCTCAGATGGCAGCCCTGAAAGATTGCAGAGTACAAACTATTCACCTGACTTGCTATAGGACATTCACATGCAACCCTACCAGAGCCAGAGACTCTGAAAGTGGTCCGTACCCCACTTAGCCAAGGGGAATGTTGGCTTATTGGGGTTCATGCTGGTGTGTCTCTGGAAATAGTTTTCCAGGCTTGGACATTTAGATGTAAGATCGTGTGCTGTTTTGTTTGTGCTGGTTCTAGGGGCTTGAATTCAGCTTTGTACTCTTCCTCTGTTTTTTTTTTTTTTTTTTCTGCTCAAGACAAGCCCTCTACCACTTAAACCACAGTGCCACCTCTGGCTTTTGAGTAGTTTATTGGCGATCTGAGTCTCAAGAGTTTACTTCCCTGGCTGGCTTTGAACTATGATCCTCAGATCTCAGCTTCCTGAGTAGCTAGGATTATGGACATTAGCCATTGGCTGCTGGCTTTTTTGTTTATTTTCTTGGTAATGATGCTTGAACTCTGGGCCTGGGTGCTGTCCCTCAGCTCTTCAGCTCAATGTGAGCACTCTACCACTTGAGCCACAGCCCCATCTGGTTTTCTGGTGGTTCACTGGAGATGAGTCTCACAGACGTTCCTGCCCCTGCTGGCTTTGAACGGTGATCCTCAGATCTCAGCCTCCTGAGTAGCTAGGATGACGCACATGAGCCACCAACGCCTGGCTTTATTTTTTGACCAGTTGTGGGGTTTGAATTCAGGCCTGAGTATGTGATTCCCTGAGCCTGTTTGTGCTCAAGGCTGGCACTCTACCCACTTCTGGGTTTGAGTGGTTAACTGGAGATAGAGTCTCATGGAGACTTGTGCTCAGGCTGGCTTCAAACCTCGATCCCCAGATCTCAACCTCCCACGTAGCTAGGATTATAGGTGTGAGCCACTAGCACCCGGCTCTGCTGTTGGTAGAATGCCAGTGACTTAGGGGGAAGTGATGGCTTCAAGAGCCTTTTTGCTCGTCACTTAATTAATCCCTTCCTGCTGTCCAGGTGGACCCCAAGTTCCTGAGGAACATGCGTTTTGCCAAGAAGCACAACAAGAAGGGCTTTAAGAAGATGCAGGCGAACAATGCCAAGGCCATGAGCGCGCGGGCCGAGGCCATCAAGACCCTGGTAAAACCCAAAGCAGTGAACAACAAACGCAAGCTCCCCGAGCAGGCCACCCGCAAGCTCCAGCGACTCGCCTACATCGCCCACCCCAAGCTGGGCAAGCGCATTCGGGCCTACATTGCCAAGGGGCGCAGGCTCACCACCCCAAAGGCCAGGGCGCAGGCCCAGGCCCAGCCTCAGGCTAAGGCCCAGGCCGAGGCCAAGGCCAAGGCCAAAGCCAAAGCAAAGGCCAAGTTGCAGGCCAAGGCACAAGCCAAGGCCAAGGCACAAACCAAGGCCCAGGCTTCAGCCACTACTCCAGCTCAGGCTCAGGCCGCAGCCCCTAAGGGTGCCCAGGCTCCAGCCCCAAAAAGTACCCAGGCTGCAGCTCCCAAGGGTGCCCAGGCTGCAGCTCCTAAGGGTGCCCAGGCTCCAGCCTCCAAAGGAGCCCAGGCTCCAGCCTCCAAAGGAGCCCAGGCTCCAGCCTCCAAAGGAGCCCAGGCTCCAGCCTCCAAAGGAGCCCAGGGCCCCGGGAAGGCCCCACAATGAAGACCTCTTGTCTGCCAGCCTGAGCACGGATGGACTGCTGTGGCTCCCTGGCCGCCATCTTCAGGGTGGGCCGGTGGCCTCTGTCGTTTCTACCAATAAACCTGAAGCAGGCTCTGGTGGCCCATGTCTGTTGTCCCATGCCTAGGGTGGGGCGTCCGTCACAACCTGGCAAGTATCCTGAGGGGTGGCCTCTGCTATCCCTGGGGTACTGGCCCGCTCCTGCCTCTGCCGTGGGCAAGGCCTTTCCAGAGGCTTCCTGTCAGAAGACAAGCCCCAGTCCAACCTTGGTCCGTTTGGAGACTGACCAGAAGCTATGATGCCAGCAGCCTGAGCATTGTCTCCGAGCTCTTGCTCAAGGCTAGCGCTCTTAGCACTTTGAGCCACCCAGCATCACTTCCGGTTTTCTGGTGGTTCCTTGGAGATGAGTCTCCCTGGCTTTTCCCCGACTTTCCTGCCCAGGCTGGCTTCAGGCAGCCACTCTCCGATCTCAGCCTCCTGAGTAACTGGGATTTCAGGCATCAGCTACCAGCCTGACTCCTTGATGCCCGTGCCTGTAATTTCCAACTCGTGGTGAGCCATTTGCTGGGTAAAAGTGGTCGGAACCAGGATGGTTGTAACACTTTTTGTTGTTGTTGTTGGTCGTGGGGCTTGAACTCTGGGCCTGGGCGCTGTCCCTCAGCTCTTCAGCTCAAGGAGAGCTCTCTACAACTTGAGCTACAGTGCCACTTCCGGTTTTCTGGTGGTTTATTGGAGATAGGAGTCTCACGGTCTTTCCTGCCCGGGCTGGCTTTGAACCGCGATCCTCAGATCTCAGCCTCCTGAGTAGCTAGGATGACAGGCATGAGCCACCAGCACCCAGCTGGTTGTAACACTTTTTAACACATCAACCCGGAACCTGTGGAGGGCTGACACAACTACAGCCCAACTGTTAGGCCTCTGCTCTTAAAGCAGTGATCGCATCTCAGAGCCTTCTGAGTTTGACCCAGGATCCCCAAGGTGCTTAATCGGCTGGTTTGGTTTTTGATTTTTTTTTTTCTTTCTGTCTTAGGGCCTGAACTCTGGGCCTGGGCACTGTCCCTCAGCTCTTAAGCTTTAGGCTAGTGCGGTACCACTTGAGCCTACAACACCCAACTTCTGTTTTTCTGGGAGTTCATTGGAGTTAAGTCTCACGGGACTTCCTGCCTGGGCTGGTTTTGAACCGCGATCCTCAGATCTCAGCCTCCTGAGTAACTATCCTGACAGGCGTGAGCCACTGGTACCTGGCTGTGTGTGTGTGTGTGTGTTGAATTTGAAATACTGGGGTTTTGAACACAGGGCTTTGAACTTGCTAGCAAGCAGGTTCTCTACCACTTGAGCCATGCATGCCCCCTGCCCTCGGTGTCTGTAGTTAATGGGAACGCTGAAGTATCCCTACGCTCACAGGCTTTATTAGTGCGCAGAGGGAAGAGGAGCTCCTGGCACCGCTGGCTGGCTGCACGGGAAGCTCCGGGGGCGCAGGGAGGGACCTGCGGCTCAGCTGCCATTGGGCAGGGCAGGCACGCTGGCCAGGGCAGGCAGCAGGTGTGTGTAGATGTCAATCCCGCGGAGGAACACGGCTTCGTGGAGGCGTTCATCATGGTCATGCAGCAGCACAGGGGTGTGGTTCATGGGGGAGAAGCCCAGAGCTGGGATCCCCACCTGCAAAGACAGAAAAGCTGCCACCAAGCCGGGTGTCGGCCGCTCACGCCTGTCATCCTTTGCTATTCGGGAGGCGGAGATCTGAGGACTGCAGTTCCAAGCCAGCCCAGGCAAACAAATCCAAGAGATTTTTCTTTTTTTTTTTTTTTAACTAATCAATCTTCTTTCTGTCGGTTGTGGGGCTTGAACTCGGCCTGGGCCCTGTCCCTGTGCTCTTCAACTCAAGGCGAGCGCTGTAGCATTTGAGCCACAGCACCACTTCCAGTTTTCTAGTTGTTTATTGGAGATGGAAGGGTCTCACAGGTTGGCTTTGAACTGTGATCCTCAGATCTCAGCCTTCTGAGTAGCTAGGATGACAGGCGTGAGCCACCAGCACCTGGCTCTATTCTGTTCTCTCTGCCAGTCCTGGGGCTTGAAATCAGGGCCTGGGTGCTGCTCCTGCTTTTGCTTGACTAGCACTCTACCACTTAGGCCACAGTGCCATTTCCAGCCTTTTCTGAGTAGTTCATTAGAAGAATCTCATGAACTTTCCTACCTGGGCTGACTTCAAACAGATCCTCAGATCTCAGCCTCCTGAGTAGCTAGGATGACAGGCGTGAACCACCAGTGCTCTGCTCAAGAGGTGTTTTGTTGTTGTCGGTCATGAGGCCTGAACTTTGGCCTGGGCGCTGTCCCTCAGCTCTTCAGCTCAAGGCGAGTGCTCTACCACCTGAGCCACAGCGCCACTTCTGGCTTTTTCTGCTTATGTGGTGCTGAGGAATTGAACTCAGGGCCTCATGCATGCAAGGCAAGCACTCTACCACTGAGCCACCTTCCCAGCCCCAAGAGATTCTTCTGTTCAATTAACCAGCAAAAACAAACGAGCTGGCGCTGGTGGCTCACACCTGTCATCCTAGCTACACAGGAGGCTGAGATCTGAGGATGAAAGTTCAAAGCCAGCCCGGGCAGCAAAGTCTGTGAGACTCTTATCTCTAATCACCATGAAAAGAGGAAGTGGCGCTGTGGCTCAAATGGCAGAGCGCTACCCTTGAGCTAAGGAGCTCAGGGACAGAGCCCAGGCCCAGAGTTCAAGCCCCAGGCCCAACAAAAAGAAAGTGACATCTGAGAAAAGCCCACCCACCACCCCACCCACAGCCACGCCCACAGCTCACCGCCCGGATGTAGCGGCTGTCAGTGGCAGCTGGAAAGATCTCGGGCTCCAGATTGAGATTCCTGCAGGGGAATCAGAAGCAGTTAGTGAAGAGGGGAGAGCAAAGGGGGGGGGGCGCTGGGCTACCGGAGGGGCTGTTCACACTCACATGTCCTTGAAGACCCCACTGAAGGCTGCCCACCAGGGGTCTGAGCTATCAGTGGGTGTCACTCGGGGCTGGGTCCATTTCTGGGGGAGGCAAAGAATGACAGGCTCAGGACACAAGGGGTTCTTTTGTCCTGTATTTCTCATACACCCCACCCACCCCTCCATCAGACATCCAGGTAGCCAGGGCACTACAAGCCCACCGACCTATTTCCCTCCTACCCCAAGCGCCCTTGCTTTAAGATTGCTCCTCAGGCCTCTTAGATTAGTGGGATTACCTGATTACATGTGCTCACATTACAAAGACCCATTCTTTTCTGTGTGTATAACTCATATCTAAGTAATATCACAGAGCCAGGTATGGTGGTTCCCTCCTGTAATGCCAGCCTTCAGGAAACACCCAGCAGGAGAATTAAGAAAGCAGCCTGAACTGGATAGGGAGAAAACAGCTCAGGGACACTTCCCAGGCCCCGAGTTCAAGCCCCAAGACCGGCAAAAAAAAAAGAGTAATTATCTCAATATTTAATATGTCTCTCCACTTCATGCTCTAGGGTTCATGCAGGTGAGTCCTGAGCCTAATTTTACTCCTTAACTGCATTCATTCCCCAGCATCCTGGTCTCCACAGCTAATGACCATTGATTGGTTGCATCTAATGTCTATCAAAGCTAAAGAAAACCTGGATGTAATGCAGATACACCAAACACTCCCAACATGTCACACCTCTGGCCAAGTCCAAGTCCATACCTGGGAAAACTCGAATGTGACCCCCTCACCAGCCTCCTGGCACCAGCTCTCTAGCTGCTTCTCAAAAGCCTAAAAAAAGAGATGAGTTAAGAGGCTGGGAAGGTGGCTCAGTGGTAGAGCGCTTGCCTTGCATGCATGAGGCCCTGGGTTCCATTCCTCAGCACCACAGAAGCAAAAAAAGCCAGAAGTGGCGCTGTGGCTCAGGTGGTAGAGCGCTAGCCTTGAGCTGAAGAGCGCAGGGACAGTGCCCGGGCTCTGAGTTCAAATCTTGCCAGGACCACCAACAAAAAGAGATAAGCCTGCCCCTCCCCAGGCTTTCCTGGAACCCTTAGAGCAAGACAGGCCGCAGGCCCCAGACTACTCCTTCCTGCCCCCACCCCCACCCCTGCTGGAAGTGGTACCTTGAGGTCCACATCCGGAGCCACACGGATGTCAAAGCAGGCGCTCATGGTGGCAGGTACCACGTTATAGGCCACGCCCCCCTCCAGCTTAGTCAGGTTCACGCAAGTCACTGCCCCCTCTTTCAGGTGAGGGTTGGACTGCAGCCTGCAGTGGGGAGCAGCAGATAAAAGAAGGGGGTTCAGCCGGGCACCGGTGACTCATGCCTGTAATCCTAGCTACTCAGGAGGCTGAGGTCTGAGGATCATGGTTCAAGGCCAGCCTGGGCAGGAAAGTCCGGGAGACTCTGATCTCCAATGAACCACCAGAAAACCAGAAGTGGCGCTGTGGCTCAAGTGGTAAAGCGCTTGCTTTGAGCTGAAGAGCTGAGGGACAGCGCCCAGGCCCAGAGTTCAAGCCCCACAACCAACAAAAATAAAGAAGGAAGGAAGTTCAGCTTCCACAGCCCCCACCCCCACCTCCAGCCCCTCCCTGGGGGGGCCGTCTTACCGCTGCCTTTCCTTCTCCCGGAATGCCAGGAAAGAACTCACAACCTTGTGCTAGAAGGGGTGTGAGGGGAAGATGTAAGCTAGGCCCAGGGCCTCCTGAGCACCCCCTCCTCTGGGGTACCCCCACATTCCCCACCCACCAATTTCTCCGCTGCTGTGTCCTCCATGAAGCGGGATCCATGGCCTGGTCTCCCTGTGCTGGTGACCCGCACCCCTGGAGAGATTGGGGCGATGTGAGGGGAGAGGAGGGCTGCACAGACAAGCAGCCTGGGACACCCAGATGTCCCCTTCCTTCCCAGCTCTGGAAGAAAGCCGAGTAGGAGTCCCAGGTACCAGTGGCTCATGACAGTCCTCCCAGCTACTCCGGAGGCTGAGATCTGAGGATCATGGTTCAAGGCCAGCCCGGGCAGGAAAGTCCATGAGACTCTTATCTCCAATGAACCACCAGAAAAACTGTAAAGTGGCGCTGTGGCTCAAGTGGTAGAGCATTCTCCTTGAGCTGAAGAGCTCATGGACAGTGCCCAGGCCCAGAGTTCAAGCCCTACAATCAGCAAAAAAAAAGCCAGAAGCAGAGCGGTGGTTCAAGTAGCAAAGCACCAGTCTTGGACAATGCCAACCAAGGTACTGAGTTCAATCTACAAAACTGGCATTAAAAAAAAAAAAAGAACAAGAACACAGGGCTGGGATGTAGCTCAGTGGCAAAGCTCTTGCTTAGCAAGTTCAAAGTCCTGGTTTGATCTCCAGTACCAAAACCAAAAAAAAAAACATGGTTAAAAAGTAATACACACAAGCCAGGTGCTGGTGGCTCACGCCTGTCATTCTAGCTACTCAGGAGGCTGAGATCTGAGGATCACGGTTCAAGGCCAGCCCGGGCAGGCAAGTCCATGAGGCACTTACCTCCAACAAACTACTCAGAAAAAGCCAGAAGTGGTGCTGTGGCTCAAATGGTAGAGCACTCACCTTGAGCATAAAGCAGCTCAGGGACACACACACACACACACACACATGTCTATGTAGGAAAGGAAATTAGAGCTCTGGGTTCAAATCTTGCTTTAACCCCTGTCTTCCTCTGGTCTAGTCTCTTATTTGTCATGATCCCATCCTCCGAGTTTATACTCACACCAAGGGCTCCGTTCACTGTAAAACACAGTGAAGGCATCGGTGGGGTTGGCCAGGCCTGATGGAGAAAGGAGGTTTATGGGATGGAATGATCCAACTGCTATCAACAAGCCACCCTGACCCGGGCTCCAACCAACCAGCTTACCCTCATCCAAGGCAAAGCCCGCCCTCAGCGCCTGGAACTCGGGCCGATGCACGAACAGCTCCATGCCCTTGTGTCCTCCGACCTCCTCGTCTGTAAAAGGGGCAGGGAGGGGAGATGACCGCTTGGGGCTGTCTCCCCGCAAACCCTCCCCCTTCCCGGAGATGCCCCTGCCCACGACACCCCTACCAGGCACAAAGGTCATATGGATGGTTCTAGGGAAGTGGCGGCCCTCGGCCTTCAGTCTCCTTACAGCCTCCAGGTACCTGTAGGAGACCAGAAGCCAGGGCTTGCTCAGGCTGGTTCTAGAAAAGTCCCTGCTCCTCTCTCTGGGTCTCCAGTCTCCCCCTCTATGCAATGGATATGGTAGTCATTCCTGCCCAATAGCAAGAGTTAAGATCCTGAGCTGGGTGCTGGTGGCTCACGCCTGTAGTCCCAGCTAGTCAGGAAGTGGAGATTTGAGGATCGTGGTTGGAAGCCAGTCCCAGGCAGGAAAGTCGGGGAGACTCGTATTTCCAGTGCACCACCAAAAAAAAAAAACCAGCTAAGATTAGAGCTGTGTTTCAAGTGGTAGAGTTCTAGCTTTAAGGAAAAAAGAAAAAGAAAAAAAGAGCTGGGAAGGTGGCCCAGTGGTAGAGTGCTTGCCTAGCACGCATGAAGCCCTGGGTTCAATTCCTCAGCACCACAGACACAGCAAAAGCCACAAGAGGTGCCGTGGCTCAAGTGGTAGAGCTCTCGCCTTGAGCTGAAGAGCTGAGGGACAGTGCCCAGGCCCAGAGTTCAAGCCCCACGACCGACAAAAATAAAAACTCAAGCTTTTCCTTGGCCTCCAGGGTCTCCAGTCATGTCCCTACATTCCACGGGAGTCCGTGGGAATCGGTGGGGTCCTTGGGCTGTGGGGATGGAGGCCCACTCACTGGATACTGACGCACTTCATGTCCTGCGAGCCTCTGGCATAGATGTAGCCCTTAGAATCCTTGAAGGCTTCGAAGGGGTCGTGACTCCAGTGTTCCTGAGGGTGGGGATGGAAAGAGGGGGACACTGCGGAGTCGGGGTGATGGGCGGGGTGGTGAGGGGGACCAAAGAGCACCCTTCCCCCACCTCGATCTCCACCCCAAACCCTGGCACCCAGCACACCTGCTGGAGTGGAAGAATGGGTAGAGATGGGACCAGCATGCACGTGGGATGGGAAATCCATCCTGTAATCTACATAATAAGCTCTCTCTCTTCTCCAGGTTGGCACAAGGCCCCCCACCCCCGCCTTTGTACCTACCTTGAAGACGGGGACCACATCCGTGTGGGAGTTAAGCAAAATGGAAGGTAAGGCGGGGTTGGTGCCTACCCAGGTGAGCACTGTGACCACATAGCCCGGGGCTACCTAGAGAGAGCATCAGCAGGGCTGCTGGTCAGGGCTGGGTAAGCACCAGCCCCTTCTCCATGTGGGGTGCCAGGCTCACCTCCACTTTCTGACAGCTCAGTCCCAGCTGGCGGGCTCTATCCTCAAGGAAGGCCACAGCAGCCCCTGGGAGGGTGGGGGTACAGAGGGCTTTTGGGGGAGAAGGGACTGCTTCTGTCTACCCATGACTCCCACAGCCCAAAGAAATGAGGTGCTGCCCACCCCCCCCCAGTACAAGGTGACATTCCTTCAGAGACATCGGCATTGCTGTCACCAAGGAGCAAGCTATTTGGGGCATCAGTGACCCGCTGGAGAAAGTACAGCTTGCTGGGCTGGTGCTTGACTACTTGAACCATGCTGCTAGTCTGGCTTTTTTTTTTTTTTTTTGCTATGTAGAGATGGAGTCTCTTGGACTTTTCTGCCCGGGCTAACTTGGAACTGAGATCTTCCAGCTGTCAGCCTCCTGAGTAGTTAGGATTACAGGCGTGAGCCACCTGTGTGCGGCTGGTTATTATTCTTATCTTCCTCAAATTGGGGTGTGTGTGTGTGAGAATGAGAACCCCAAGATAAGAAGAAGTTACTAAATCTCACAGCAGGGATTTGGAGCACATATACAATTCCCAGTCATTAATCTAGGCTCCTTAAGAACTATGGCCTTTGTACACTCCTGGCTCTGTGTGTGTGTGTGTGTGTGGAGAGGTGTCTCAGTAACTACCCCAGTACCTTTATGCCACTCCTACCCTGAGGGGTAAGGTGATCTTTTAACTAGTCGTGGGGTGTAAACCATTGGTCTCCATCACAGCTCTATTACAATGCTCATCCACTGCCCCTAAGGGCTGTCTTTGACTCAGTAAATGGCTACAGATGTGGCTGAGCCACTGGGGGAGGGAGGGGAGGGGAAGCAAAGGTAGAGTACAGCTGGATGTCAAAGGCCCATCCGGGTCTCTGCAGTCCAGCCTTCTCACCATAATCCGGCTTGGGCTGGACAGTGCGGATGCGCAGATACTGGCGGAAGAGCGTCACGGATGGGTGCTCGCCCTCAGGACCTTGGTTGGCCATTGTGCAGGGGAGATGAGCTGGGGGATGAGGGTGGGGAGTGAGTAAGGACCAGGAAGACCCCCTCCCACACACACACCTGCTGTTAAGACAAGGACCCCGGGTTTTGAAGCCTCTATTCTTTTTTTCTTCTAGTCATGGGTGAGGCTTGAACTCTGGGCCTAGGTGCTGTCCCTGAGCTCTTCAGCTCAAGGCGAGCGCTCTACCACTTGAGCCACAGTGCCACTTCCGGTTTTCTGGTGGATCATTGGAGATAAGGGTCTCAAGGACTTTCCTGCTCAGGCTGGCATTGAACCGTGATCCTCAGATCTCAGTCTCCTGAGTAGCTAGGATGACAGGTATGAGCCACCGGCGCCAGGCTTTGAAGCTTCTATTCCATGTCCGGCCACTTTCAACACGAATAAAGTGTTCCACTTATTATTTTGTTTTGTGCCAGTCCTGGGACTTAATCTCAAAGCCTGGATACTGTCCATGAGGTCTCCCCCCTTGCTCAAAGCTGGCAGTGAACCACAGCTCTGCTTCCAGATTGTTGGGGTTCTTTTTGTCTTGTGTCTTTAGTAATTCATTGGAGATAAGAGTCTCATAGTCTTTCCTGCCTGGGCTCCATCCTCAGATCTCAACCTCCAGAATAGCTAGGATTCCAGGCGTGAGCCCCCTGCGCCCCCACGCTGGGGCCCAGCAGTAGGTCCTACTGCCCAATACCCGTTTTAGAGAGAGGCAAGCTGAGACCCTGAGAGATTTGGGGGTGAGCCTGGTTTGAATCCCGATACTGACTCCCCACTCTCTGCAAACCATTCCTCCCACTGCCTGGCTTTCACTGTTAACCCCCCAAGCCCCCAGATCCCCCTCTCCCAGTCCTCCCCAGGACCCCAAGACCCTCCCCAGGACCCTCAGTCCTTCCCTCGTCCTCCCCCCCCCCGTCCTCCCCAGGCTCCCAGCCCCCCAGTCCTCCCCAGGATCCCTCCCCCCAGTCCTCCCCAGCCCCCCAGTCCTCCCCAGC